ATTTTGAGCGGCGTCTCGAAGATTTCCGTCTCGTAAACGCTCATATCACCGAGAACTCTGCGGTCTCTGCATTGTCGCTTATAAGAGTTTTAGATACTCCAAGCGGCTTGTAATTCCGCGTGTGAAAACTACAAGTTCCAGCTATACCGCTCACCTCGTCTAACGATATTGTGCAGTCAACTAATAAACGTTTGAACCAACGTAATTGCTGAATTCGTTTATTGGAGAGTCACCCGCCTTGGAGAGCGAACCTTCCAATTTAAGGTGGTACCAGCCTACCCATTCCAAAAACATAACCTAAAGACTCTACTGTGTTCAATTAACAGATCTAAACACCTGTGATTAGGAGTGATTGACACGACGGACATTAAATGTCGTTTCTTTTATTACAGGTGAGACCTTGTAAATACCGAGCTAAAAACTTGTAAATAATAAAAATCCCATAAAAAATCTTTTTAAAAAAAGAAAGAATGTACGCCAAGTACCTAAAAAAATGTGTTGATCAAAAATAGTCGTGAAATCAATAAAATTAACCAAGTACCTCATTATTAAAAAAACCTCAAAAAAGCTTATTTATGAAAAATATTCAAAAATTGAAAAAAGGAAAAGTGATAAACTAGATTATAATGAAGAAAAAACTTGGCGTGCCCGGGTCGCATTAATTGCATTTCTGTATTAAACAATATGTAAATTTATATGAAAATGATTTCAATATATAATGCTTTTTTATCTAACAATTGCATTCATGTTTGTATATATCTATTATCTAACTATTGCATTCGTGTTTGTGTATATCCGCAACTATTGTATGTAATAATGTTTTTATATATGTATATTTATTTGTATTACAAATTTTTCATATACTATAAATCATTGGCTGTGGAACGTTTTCATGCGACCCAGGTACTTTGTCTGACTATTAGTTTCATGTTTGTATATATCTGCAAATAATTTATATACTATAAAACATGTGGAATATTGCATTTTAAAACGACCCGGGCACGCCAAGTTTTTTCTTCATTATAATCTAGTTTATCACTTTTCCATTTTTCAATTTTTGAATATTTTTCATAAATAAGCTTTTTTGAGGTTTTTTTAATAATGAGGTACTTGGTTAATTTTATTGATTTCACGACTATTTTTGATCAACACATTTTTTTAGGTACTTGGCGTATATTCTTTCTTTTTTTAAAAAGATTTTTTATGGGATCTCACTGCTTTTTGTTAAATTATAATAGAATTTAAACCTTCTAAAAATAAACACATTATTATTTATAAAATTGTTACTTTAATTTAATGTACCTTTTCTCACTTTCAATAGTTTATTGATTTGATTTTTTTATTCATTTATTTGTTCTAAGAAAAATATACAGTCACCAAACTAATTGACCGGACACTGCGTTAATATATCGATAATTTCTAAAAATTCAAGATAGAGCAACTTTGTCAAAAATTATCATAACATAACA